GTTGGAAATCCAAGAAGAGCAGTGAAAGAATTCCCCATAACTGTTGCCTTCCTGGAACTGGTGGGTCTCTTGAAGAAGATGGTGAAGAAGGAGGAGAAGAAGAAGGGAGAAGGAGAGGGATGAAGGGTAAAATTGTGTTTTTCAAAAAAATAATATATCATGTGTGAGGGAATTAATGGATCCTAACGGTAAGGATAGAGTTTGTCAATTGTCAAAAACAGTAGGGGTAGCATTAGACAATAGTCAAACAGTAAGGGTATACTTAGTCAATTAGTTAAACCATAAGGGTAGTTTAAGAAATTTACCCTAAAAATAATTATTGTTTATTACACTTGTTTTCTAATTTGATTAATAAAAAATATCATAAATGTGTATATTTTTTCTACAATTTTGTAAATTTCTACATTTATTTCTATTTAAAAATTTTATTATCTAACTATGACTTCATGGGTTGGCCAATTTGGTTCGGATGGTCGAATTGCTTAGTCATCACTTGGATAAAAAATGATTTTGTTTTTGAGAGTTTTAAAATATATGGGTTTATATTATTAAAAGTATTGGATATAGATCTAATTAGTATCATTTATTAGTGAAAAGATAACTTAAATATGGGATTTAATAAGAGAGAATAATGGAAGTTAATGAGAGGGGATTAAATGAGGTAAAAAGAATTAATTGAAATTACATTTTCAACCTTCATAATTAGAGATGGACTAAATAACAAAAATGGGCATTTTAGTCAAAAAAATCTCCACACCCTCATTCATACTTTTTATAATAATATAAATATAGATCTTGGAGTTCTACCTTGATTCCATGGAACCACATCATTGACACAGGCTAGAACCAAAACTCAAAAGAAAGAGAAGAGGGTCTCATCCATCAATTAATTGATGATGCCAATTGTGTTTCTGTACCCGCTACAAATAAACAAATAAAAGATCTGCTTGTATAGTGTAGACTAAACAGACACACAGTTTAATAAATCAAAAAAGAAAAAGATGGGAGAGACAACCTTTAGCATATATATGCTTTTTTTTTTGTTAGCCAGGTTGTTGGTGTTTTTTTTTTTTTGGCAAAATAAGAAACCATTAAAAACATAACATGACGCCCTATGTTCCCTCCCACCCAAAACCTGCATAATAAAGGTTATATAGTAGTCTGTGACTGAGTCCCCAGTTCAGGATAAGCTTCAAATTCTGAGTTCTTTCATGGAACCTTCTCATGAAATGAAAAGAAAGGCATAGGTTTCATGAAGTTGATGAACCACACCCAGAATGTAATTAAACCGGCTTTGTGACATAAAAAATGTGTATATACAGATTCCCAGTATAAATTAAAGCACAAACAGTTTGGACTTGAATACAATAAGGATTGAATACATAGGTAGGGGGTTCCATTTTCTTTTCTCTATTGATGATTCAGCAATGAAACCCATGCAATCGAGATACTATAGCCTATATATGGAAAACCAAAAAAAAAAAAAATTAAAAGACATATATACCAGCCTATATGTTATCACCAACCATCTAATTAACATGATTCAGCAGAGAAAGGCATTGCTTTTATGAATCAATTCCACACTGATCGTCCAAACTTGAGAAGAAAAAGAAGAAAAGACAAAGATCATCCTTGAATGTATCTCTTGAGGTTAACTCTCTCCGATTGCACCCAATTGATCCTTAAAGCTCAGTTTGGAAGGAATATAAATACAAATATATAAAATACAAAACCTTGTATTTTGTATTATTTGTTTGTATTTATACAGTTCATATTTATATTTGTACTCCTTCCAATGGCTTAATTTGAAAGGAGTACAAATATAAATTTATAGAGTGTAAACTTTGTATTAGATATTATTTTCATATTTGGTATCCGAGTCCTATATTAATAATGCTCTTCAATATATTTTTAATTCTGGGTCTGGTTGTAGCAGGGAGCTGGGATCAAATTCCGCTCCAGTGGATGGGAAATGGGCTACCTCGTTGTGTAGCCCCAAAGCCAAGCCAAAAAAAAAGAAAAAAAACGAGAAGGGTCTCGTTGAATTGGATCATAAATGACTTATATTAGTCATGATATAAATGAGTGGATTGGAGTCTTTATTTATTGGATTCATAGTGGGTTTGATCCAATTATTATTAATGATGTTTGTTATATAACACATGGTTGTAAGGTATAATTGCACAAAACAAACTATACAATAGCTTATTATAGTTTCAAACTTGTAGGAACCATTAGGTCATACATACAATGTGTAAATGGGAATGATAACGAAAAACACCTTATATTTCTTCTGCTAACATCTCTATGTACATAACCCAATGTGTTTTTTATGTTTTGAGAGAGGTTTTACTATCGAGATCTCTTGAGGTTTTCTTTTTTTTTTTTAGTTTGTTGTTTGTTTTTCTCCCCTCTTCTGTGTTTTTCCCTTTTCTCTATTTCTCTCATATTCTGTGTTTTCCCCCCATTTCTCTCTCAAGATCTTTGTTTTTCTCCTTTTATGTGTTTCCTCTCTCTCTCTCTCGCTTTATGTATTTCCCCTCTTCTGTGTTTTTCCCTTCTCTCTCTCTCTGTTTTCCCCTTGAGATCTCTCGAGAGTCACCCCCTTCTCTCTCTGTTTCTCCCCTCCCCTTTGTTTTTCTTTGGTTGCTTTTTTCTACGGGCTTTTTGATAAGAAGTTACTGCTATAATCTCCTTTCTACAAAAATCACCGATGGATTTGCCCCTTGTTTTTCTATCTCCAGAATTTTGAAAAGTAGTTTCAATTCTCCGACGTCCTAGATGGTCATGATTGTGCTCCGACGTCTTGAATGGAAGTTTCAGTTCTCTGGTTTTTCAGATGACAGTTCCAATTTTTTGGCATTGTGGACGGATGTTACAGTTCTTTGACGTTCTTTGGATGACAGCTCATAATCGGCAGTTTTTTTTGTGTGCTGGATGGCAGTTACAGATGATGCCATCTTTTGCGGTTTTTTTTTTGGAGTGGTTGGAAATTACAGTTCATGGCTTGTGGCTATGTAACCTCCTTTGTCAGTTTTCATTTTAGTTGGTAACTCCTCTTGTCAATTTGCTCACTAGTTATGGTGGATCGGGGGTGTATTTATCTACTTCTGTTTGTGATGTTAAGTCACCTTACTTTAGTTGCAAAAGTTTTTCTGATTCTCCTAAATCCATCTCTTTGTTTTGTTCTTCTTGAGAATGTATCTCTAATATTTACTTGGCCTTGTTGACATTTGTTTTGTTCTTCTTGTGAATGTATCTCTGATATTTACTTGACCTTGTTGACATCTCTTTGTACCAATCTCTTGAATGAATGAAACATGATTGAAATCTTCTCGAAAAAAAAAATGGTAGATCAAAACTGCTTAAGTTGAAGCTTGTCTTCGAAATATACACCTATAAAACTTGAGCCCAATAACAGATTGTCACAAAATCCCAAAATTTATGTCCACTTTTATAAAATGGATTGGGCTATGATATAAAAAAAAAAAGATATAAGAGAAAAACTTATAACCAATTAAATGGATTTTCATTAACCTTCATGGGTGGTATTGATGGATCAAAATCTTTCAGGCATGAAAGATTTTTTCCTTACAAAAATTTCAGTAGACAACATTTGTTAGGTGGCAGGTGGCTAATAAGATTGATTTTAGGCCTTGTTTGCTGTTCAAGAAGTTATTTATTTAGATAAGTGTTTCTTGAAAAATACTTACTCGAGTAAATACATTTATCTATGTTCTTTTATTTCTTAGGTAGATAAAAAAAATAACCGTTTTAGTTATAAAAAGCTTTTACTAAAGGGATAGTTTTGTTCCATGCTAGTGTTAACAATTTTTTTCTCATATGAAAAAGTTACTTATCCATTTAAGAGATGAATATCATTTTATTTGGGTAATTGATATTAAAAAAAAATAAAAATTTCATAAACCCCATATAAATCTAAAGAAAAACATAAATATCTTGATAAATATAAATCAAAATCTCATTAACCAACTTTAGTCCTCTAAATAAAAAGAGAAAAAAACTAAAAGGGATATTTGATGCCTTATCTCCCAAAAATTTTGATCTACTATATAGATGATTAACCTATTAAATATGTTGGATAATGACCTACACTCATTGAAGTCCTAGGATGGTGCAAAAAGCCCTGGGGCAAAGAGTGACGTTACAGCCCCCCATAATCTATTAATAACCCTCCTTATAAACCAAATCTTGTCTATGAATTTGACATCAATTTACTGTCAGATTCATCCATATCGAACTACAAAATTGTGACTCGTACTGATCAGTCAAATTAAGGAAAATACAGAGCAGAGTACAGACATTTTAGTAAAAATTTTACGTGAATAAAGGGGGGGGGCGATCAGTTGTCAGTTGAAGATTTTTCCAAAATGAAAAAGGGAAAATGGCCGACTGTCGACACGGAACCTATGACGCCACGTCCACATACCGTCGTCTATTGAGTATTGTCACGTGGGATTGGGCTGCCGTGCCGCTCAAGTCATTTCCATTTGGCTTTGGAGCCCGTTAATGCGCTTTCTGCCTTTTTTTTTACGGTTTTCCCGGCCAAACTTACACTTCCTTGTTTCCCAAGTCACGAAGTTAAACCAAATAAAAAGAAAAGGGAAATAAGAAAGCATATGCGTAATTACAATCATATCCATGCTTTGACATTTGTGATTTGTTCCGTGTATCATTCAAATTCAGATGCATGGGCCCACTTTGAAGTTGACTTGTTGACCCCGTCGACTTGTCAACCGTCGATCCAAATGATCGAACATCAAGTGCCCGTACTTTATTTTAATCGGCCACGTGTACGGTACGGAGATGGGCGATGAAACTCATCTTTAATCGGCCATGTTGTACAAAAAGTTTACAAAATGTGTAGAGAGAAATAGAAAATTTCATTTTCAAGTATCGTTGAGCCATTCATTCGGAGAATGGGAAAGGGTATTATCGTCATTAGACCTTCCACTTGAGAAAGGGCATTACATGAAGACCGATCCCGTTGCTTTTGGCCTCTCCTCCTCCGGGTTTGCAGCGGGCTTTTCTTCCTTCTCACACCCTTTGGATCCGCCAACAATCCCAAATGCCGAATTGCACCAACAAAAATTAGGATTAGGGTTTGTTCGCTCTTCGACTGTATGATTCTTTTCGATTCCTGCTCGTCGAGATCCCGAATTAAGGTTTCCGGAATTCAAACTGGTTTCGATTCGCATCCGTCAAATTCATTTAACTGGTTTTGTTTCTCGGATTCTCTCGTGGCGAACGCCCTTTTTCATAAATATGGCGTAGGCTTTCGTGTTTAGGGGTTTTGCAATTCAAAATTATCACTTATTCTTCATCTTAGGTCGTCAGAAGGGGAGCTGAGGAGTCTCTTTCACATGACAAAATCAATTATGAATTTCCTGCTTTGAATTTCGAATTTTCCATGCTTGTAACAGAAAACCTAGAGCTTGTAATTGTGATCACAATTCACAAGGCTTATTTATGCTAGAAACGTGGGCGTTTGAACCCAGGGCTGCCGTCGGGCCTGCTCAAGGGGACGCCCGCCATGCTGGAGGCAAGGATTGCCGCGCTTACGTCGCGGCCGGGAACCTTTGGTTAAGACTGGTGGGAAGTGGTGGTGCACCGCTCGTTGGGAAGGTAGATGCTTTCAGCCACGAAAGTGAGCATGACCTGGGGTTAATGGTCAGCGATTTCCTGGAGAATGGAAGCAGTGGTGCAGATTCGAGATGCAGCAGCGATAGTGATTCTAGTTTTTCTGATATCGCCCATCTTGCTGATAAGATTTCGGTTAGTTGTGCTCTATAACCTTCTTCCCGTAGCCTTTTCCTTTGTTTCTATTTCAGCGGAATATTTAATTGCCGCTACTCCTTTTATTATGTTAACCATTTCTATTCCCCCTCCCCTCATGCATCAAACCTTACCTCATAGTGGTATACTTTCTTAGCTAGTTGTTTGTATGTTATGACCGTGAAGGCGTGAAGGATGTGAACTTACCAAAAGCATTTTGTTTGTTGCATAGTTTGTATTTTAGTATTCTTGACGTGATTATCTTGTAATCTGTATTTCGCTGCTCTATGTCAATTGGTTGTGAAAAATTTGTCATATAATATTTCCAAAATCGTAGTATCTCTCTTTCTATATTTTTCTACTCGTGCATATCTGTTGAACGGCAGCTGACTAAACACTACAGCTCCGTTTCAGGGATTTCACCTTCTTTCTGTTTTTCCCTAAAACTCTAATATGTTTTTGTTTGATATCCATCAAGTGTGACAAATTAATTTCTTTTCCGTTTCAAGCTTCATTTTCATCACTTTAAAGAGTTGGTTCAGGATTCTGGGGGCTTTTGGTAAAAGCCACTCGGCCAACTGGGAAGATGGGCATAAATTGAAGGATATATCAGGCGACTTAGAGACGATGACAACTTTCTGATGGCAAATAGTTATTTGGATTTCCTCCTTGCATGGTTATATCATTCTTTAGGAAAGCCTCAGGTACCTCGGGTAGATCAAATAAGTACCTATAAGCCTAAATGCCTTTGAAGCCTAAGCAGATCTTATTGGGATAAGAGTTCTTTTTTTTAATCTGAACAGTCTATACCTGAAGTCTGACATGTTGAAGTTTTTTATTAGAATGACTATTGCATTTTCTTCTCTTTGAACATGGATATGACAGTTAAGGGATGCTCATATTATCATGAAAGTTTTAAGAGGTTGAATGGATAAGGAAACACTACACAAAGATAAGTGGCAATTGGTGTTTCAATAATTTATTAATCCAAGCAAAATTTCAGATATAAGTAGGCTTACCAATGGCATAGCCAAACACACTAAGAGAGAGATTACCAACCACCATCCACCACTTACCTGGTTACTTTAGATATAAGTGGCAATGTTTGACTTCCAACCATCATCTTAGTTGTTTGTTTATTTGTCTTGTTCATTCTTTTGGAGGAGAGGACAACTGACACCATTTTTAGTGGTGAAGTAATAATCTAGGGTGCTTTCAACTTCCAAGTACATCTAAAGATGTGGGAACTTGGATCACTGATTATAGTGTGGTTCTATGTTAAAAGTACATGATCAGGTTTATATGATGCATCCATGTGGTACCAAAATGCCAATTGATTGGCTTTAGCAAATGGTAGATGCCATTTCCAATAAAAAAAAAGATGTTCTCCAAACTCACTTCAAGTTCAAGTAGCTATAGTCAAACTTGTTCTTTTGACCTTCTACCCATGGTTATTAAGGTGGCAAGGTGGTAGTATAGGTGCAACTCAGGTAGGTTGGATCAAGTTGAGGGTTACACCAAGCCCAACCCTAAGTTTGACAATGTTTATCAACCTTGGCCCTGGTCCAACCAGAGGGCAAGCCTATGTTTACCAACCTTGGCCCAACTTGAGCTTAACCCAACACAACTTGGGTTGGTTGAGTTTAAAAGAATTTTTGAATATTTTTTGCACATCGCCACATCTATCTTTTATTGGGCTTCACAGTCCAATTTAAGAGTAGAATGGATTGCAAATATTACAGATGCAATTATCAAAAAAAAAGTACATATGCCACTAAAAATGCACACACACAGACACACACAACCTAGAGCCTGAAAACTCAGGCCTAACCTTTGCAAAAGCTTTGGTTGGGTCAAGTCAAGCTCGGATTGGCATTGGCCCACCTGGCCCAAGACTTGTTATCACCCTAGTGGTAGGGTACCACTAATCATCTGCGCAGTATTTTGGAAAATCTGACCTATAATTTATTGGGTGTTTTCTATGTTCACATGTGGCCATATTTTCAATTTCATAATATTTTATTAAAATATTAAGAGAAATAATAATAATAAAATTTGTTTATAGAGACACATTATCATTGACTTTATAGGGCAATATAACTTTTAATCATAAACTTCAATATTTTATATGCAATATAATCAAATTTCATTCAGAAAAGTGGTAAGACATTTAACATCATGGATTTCCATATAACAAGAATCCAAGCAAATAAGCAAAGGAGCAAACCTAGTGAGTCTAAGAAAATGGGTGTTACAAGACATTGACTCCATGAATATAGGAGAATAAAAGCATATGAATCTAAGAAAGGAAGTATTGCAAGGACAATTCAGTCAAATAAATAATGAACGACATGTACATACATAGATATGTATTTACACAAGTAAAAATAACATTTGCTAAAGCATAGTCCTTTTTGTTACCTAAAGCAGTGCAGAAAATGCCTTTTGTGCTCCCCCCCCCCCCAAGGAAAATGCCTTATCACTTAGGTGCCTGGCTAGCATTGCCATGATTGATAGCTATGATTGTGGACCTGCACAGAAATGCATATGCTGCTTGGCCCTGTCATATCATGGTGGAAAGGTGATTTCAAGACTTATCAGTGGTTCCTTTCATGATAGGTGGAAAATTTACTACTGTCTGGTGCCAGTGACCAAGTCGTTGGGGTCATATCTGGGGCACGGGACCTCTTTTTGTTAATATGGATTGACAGCCATAGAACTCTTCTTGGTCACCCATGCAAAAACTGATTTTCTTTTAATTTCCATTCTTAGTGGTTGGTGATCTATGTAGATTAGCACCACATGTTAGATTCGGTTGCTAGACCTTGGCCAATCATGTTGATGCCTAGGAATCCTGCATTGTATAAATGATTGAATATTTCAGCAGTATGATACCTGTTACATGGGAACTCTATATTTGTAGACAGGAACAAGAGCTTCACATAATGATGACTATACTTGCATATGGCTTCTAAGCAATTATTAATTTATTATAGAACAAATAACAGAAGCAGCCTGAAAATTCTATTAGCACCGGGAGTTGGAAGTTTAAGAAAATTAAGAATGGTGTAGAAGTAAAAGAGATACAGTTTTTAATGAAAAAAGAACCAGAAACCATCCACTCCCCCTATCCAGATTGTTATCTGCATAGGTGTAGCTGGTTGACCTCTGTTCTCCTTTCTCTCTTCACTATTGAGTGGAGTTTCAAATTTGTGGCCCTATACTAATAAAAGATCCTACTGTAGGTGCTGGGTTCACAGTTTCACAATTAACCAAAGATGCATACTCAAAATTAAATTATATCAATTCCCCAGCAGAAAATTTTGTCGTGGTGCTTGGATGACTACCTATATAACCTAATCCAAGTGCAGGTTGCCTAGGCATGCTTAAGCTGCATTTTTGTTAGACATCCTTGGTGAACTATCAATGGCTATGAGGATCTATTGGTTGGAAAAATAGAGGCAATTTCAAAGAATTTATGACAGAGTTATCCCGGAGAAATGTGTATCTAAAATTTTTTTGTCAAATCTATGCAAGTGATGCAATTTATGAATCTTTCCATGTACCATTTCTGCAATCTAGACTCAACTTCCAGTTCAACAACATGGACCATATTCTCATACAACTTGTTTTTGGTTGTTGCTTTCTATTAGGGACTAATTAGTTACTTTCCATGTACCATTACACTGTGTACTTTTAGTTGCATTTTCCAATTGGCTGAATGTTTTGATCATGCGTTATTTTCCAGCTTTATAAGCACAAAGTAGATCAGTATGAGAGCGAGTTGTTATCAACAGTCCATTCCCTTCTACTTTCTATCAATGAGAAAGATCTTTGCTTTGTGAAGTCAAGCCTATGTAATGCTAGCTGCATCAGGTTTTGTTTGGCAAAGCTCCTGAGATTGTCTGGTTATGATGCTGCTGTATGTTCATCAAAGTGGCAGGGTTGTGGAAAGGTCCCTGGAGGTATGCTGGCAAAATATCTGGCCCAAACTGCTCCTTTATTTTGTCTTTTTGTTTTGTTTATCAAGCACATAGAAATGGGGAACTTTGGGGGTGGGGGGGGTTAATAGTTAATGGAAGTGTGTCTGTACACATTGCATGCATAATAGGATTTTAACATCCATTTTATGTCTCCATTTCTTGTTGATATTTTCAGACCAAAATTGACTACCCTTTCATTTACTGGATCATCTGACAAGTTCTTTTTTGAAAGAAGAAAATACGATGGATCAAAGATTTAGGATAATGCAATCAATTTTGGCCTAGGAGGTTCTCCTGTTTATGTGTCCCCATGCTGTGCTAGAGAAATTACTTTCTTCGAATGGAACCATTTCTGACATTTTTCCCCTTTTAATTGTTTGATGTAAAGGTGATCATGAATATATTGATGTTGTCACTCATCATCATTCCGGGAACACAGAACGCTTGATCATTGATATTGATTTCCGTAGCCACTTTGAAATAGCAAGGGCGGTTGAATCTTATGATGCAGTGTTGAATTCAGTTCCAGTGGTGTATGTGGGTTCCCCATCGAAGCTCAAACAATTCCTTCAAGTTCTGGTGGAAGCTGCAAGGTCTTCTCTGAAGCAAAACTCAATGCCTCTTCCTCCATGGAGGTCTTTTGCTTATTTGCAAGCCAAGTGGCACTCTGCCTACCAGAGAAAGCTCAATCCCGATGAACGAAGTATCCCTGAGCCTGAGACCTGTTGTTCTGATCATAAACAGTGCATGGGGCATTTGAAAAGGCTGCAATCTTCTATCCAATCTGAAATTGAAGCAGAACGATTGTTGAAGCCCAAGAGCAATGATCATCAACGTAGATGGAAGCTGGAGAGGTGGAGGCAGTCATTTAGAGCTCTATGAAGATGTACAGAATTTAGCGGGATAATAAAATCCATTTCATCATATGAGGCTGCTTTTCAAGCACCCGAAAAATAAGAACAACAATAAAGAAAAGGGATCATTTAGATATGAAATAAGCCATAAACAGAAAATAGGTTGATTCATACAGTCGATACACAACAAATAACAAGCCATATTTTGGTGGAGCATCCATATTATGGAGTTTTGTCTCTCTTCCAATTATTTTCCTGCACCAGCAGAAAGCAAGGCAGTACTTGCTTGACCCTGATGCATCATTCCATAATTTTTTTGTTGATTGCTTGAGATATATTTGTTCTTTTAAATGTCATTTTGTGTGACTTCCTTGCCTCTTTATTTTATGGGCACAGGAGTTTTTGATCTGTTTGTACTTTTTCATTTTTCCTCACGAAACTTCCAAGTTTGTCTTCCCGGCTGCAGTTCAAAGGCTGCTTGCTTGGTGTCAACTTTTATTCTGTTCAATTAATATTAAGAGTTTTGGGATATATAATATGCTCTACAATCTGTTCCCCTTGTGCACATCAAACCAGCAACTCATTCAATGGGTTGTAACTTGTAAGCTTTTTATATCTATATAATACAGATTGTGATAGTATGCTAAATGTTTGGACTGAGTAACCGAGAACAGGTCTGGACCTGTAACTATGGTTTTCAAAACCGGACCGGATCGGACCAGATGGTTGGACTGGAAACCGGGAACCAGTCAGGTGACTGGTTCTGTTTTCTCCAAAAACTGGATTTCTCTCCAAAACTATAATTTGACAATTAACCGTTCAAACGGTTTTGACCGTTTTTTATTTTTTAAAATTTTCGTGTCAGAATGGGCCGAGTGTTCAGTTTGAATGATCGAACCATTCGACCCGATAATCGGACCCCTGACCAGTTCAGTCACCGGGTCGATTTTTAAACCATGCCTGTAACCCTCCCCTCCATTAATAACAAATCCCTCTTCATACTTTGTTTCTCCACCGAGCTCTTTACTGGTAGAGCTGTCTGCCTACATCCATTGGAGAACCGGAGAAGTGCTTTGCTCTCTCTTAATTACAACTCTTCACTGCTATTTCTTTCTTTCTTAGCGTTGATATAGCCATATGATATTATTATTATCAGCCTGGCGCGATTATAGTTAATAAAAATGTATAGATATAGATATGATATGGGTAAGTTTCTTATACAATTGAATCGAGAATAAAGAAAAGTACATCTAAAAATTTGTTCTAATACTTGATCCTTCTACCGAAAAAGTTTAATACCTGATCTAAGAGTTATGTGCTGTACTGCTGTACCATGTGACCGCGGGAGTCCTACAAGGAGAGATAAACGAAGGAAGTTACACCTGCCTCGAGCCCAGTTGGAGTGCATGAATCACTGCCAGAACACAGTCGAGCATTTCCAAGCTGCAAATTGCAATGCAAAAATTGTACTGCTGCTCCATGAAATTTGCTCGTGTTAGTTACTATTTGGATGCTCATGGACTCATGCATGATAACCCAATTGCATAGAATAATTGGCCCAGTATGTACCCAATCAGGTCCCATCAGTTATTGGAAGTCTCTGCTTGTCCAGTATCTCGAACCGCTTTTGTTGGTCAAAGCCGTTTGATGTGTAACCCATCATTTCTCTTCTCCCTTTGATCAGGGCATGAGAGACATATCTGACATAACAGGACCAACCCCATGATGGAGTTTTGTACAAAGCTTGGAAAAGAGAAGGTGGGAGCTCCGTAAAATAATAATTACCCTATCCACGCATGAATCTCTTCTGCCTTCGATTCCCCTTGTTTAACGGTACAAAACCGGACTCCAATTGCCATTGTATTCCTCTGCTGCCAAGGCCAAAATTAATAATCTGGTTGAGATGTTCACGTAAAAAAAAAAAAGAAGAAAAAGCAGAGGACAATGCTGTTCTTTTCTAGTTTGATACAGGAAATCTACAGAAGAAATGAGATAATTCCTTAATTTATCACTATACAAAGTACAACATCCAAGCTGTTTCCACCGGGTTCAAGAAGTGCTAGTCTCTCAAGGAGCAGGACGTACAAATCCGCCAGGTAGCCAAGGAAATGTGTCCCTCTTAGACTTATCGAGTTAAACACCCAAATAGTAGAGAGAGATACATTTGGTGTCCAAACGAGGTAGGTCCTTAGTCCCTTAGAGGACAAAGAAACCACTGTTGGTCAAAAAGACTAGAAAGAGTGTAATGATAGGGGGTGCCCCATACTACATGGATGATACTCAATGATCATGGCAATGTTGTCATCGGACCCAAAACCATTTTGGTCATGGGTCACAGGTCGAATGGCTCGATCATCTGGTTCAATCGTTCAACTGTAATTTGTTCGAATAAAAGATATACAGATTATATATATATATATAACAAATAGTGTATATCTTGTTTAAAATAGTTTGTATCAAATAAAGCTTCACAGTAAATATATTACAAGACAGAAGTTATGCCAATGCATATACTTGGGGTAGGTTTTATCAAATCAAGTAAACATTTCTAAGATCTGGGCAGCCTCAAATCCAGTTCCCAGTTCAAGAGTCTAACCATCCACATTGATCTAACCCCCTATAGGGTTCCGTTTAAAAGAAACACTTTTTCACCAAACACTAATAAGCACTTATTATCCAATAAGCACTCCCAAATAGATGTAAAATGTGATAAACATGGGATCATGGGGCAAGTGCAATTTCCTTTAAGAGTACAACCTCTGAACCTCATATACGTACTTTCAAATCATTATACCAAGATGCTAACCTTAAATTGGTCACACGTGGGCAAAAAAAGCAAATAACTTTAGAAATTGAAAATTAGTAAAAGAAAAGAAGGATGGATAAAATTAAAATAAACTTGGGAAAGAATTGAATATGAAATTAAGCAAAGTAATTAATTAATCAAAAGAGAGTAAGGATGACATGCTTGAACGAAGTGATACAAGTCTGAGTAAAAAATACAATCAATTATTTGATTTACCATATCTAACATTGTTTCATAATTTTTTTTTTATGCTTATTATAAATTTTTATTTTTTATATGATTTATTCAAGGTTTAAAGTATAGATACACAAATTAATATGGCGGAAGAGAAAACATCAGCGTCCCACATATATATCTCATCATGCACTGATAACATTTCCGTATTATCATCAGGAGATATTTTCAATACATAATTGGGATGTATTATGGGACGTATGGGGCGCTGATGTGATCTCAGGGCGGAAGGGATGTATTTGATACCCACTCTTATAGGTTTTTTTTTTTTTTTTCCAAAACTTTTTAAGGGGTCGGTTTAAGACGTATCTACCCCTCAAATAGGTTTTGACCCCAAAAAGACACGACAGGACATTCATACGGTACGATAAGTGTCCAAGTTTTAAAAGTCTGTATACTTTCTAAATGTTTTGTAACACGGAGATGATATGCTCATAATGTTAAGGAAATTAAGAGAGAAAATTGATTTAACAGATTATTTAAATAAGATTAGAGGGGTGAAAGTGGTCGTGTCATGCGGAGATTTGTTAGAAGACTCACAATCCACTTTGGTACCAGTAGGGACCTGATGATAGACTCTTTTTACTGAGTTTTACACTTTCTAGAACATCAATTACACACTGGTTGCTTAGTGTAAGGCTGTGTAAAGTAAAAAAGGTGTAGCAAATCCGGACTCAGTTGATCTTTTATTGCTATTGTTAATACTGGAATTGATGAAGGTTCTTCTAACAATGCATTTGGTCGAGGTCAATGTTGGAAGGTTGGTTCTTGATGATCGGATTGGTCTTCTTAAGCTGCGAGTAAGATGGCAATTCTATCTAGCTTTCTTCTGTTTTTTTTTTTGGGTTTTGCTGTTATTTATTTATTGGACTGGGCGGAGTGTGAGAGAGAGATATAATCGAAATTTTTGGGGCAAGGGTATGTCCTTCCAGTAATGTTGTTGCTTATTGAGCTTTATTTTAATAAAATTTTAAATGGTGCATCCATTGATATTTGCCATATATTAAAACAAGATTTCAATTAAGGTATCATATAATCTATTATTTACTATCAAAACTTTTACAATATTAAAGATGTCTGTTGTGACATGTCATTTTATTACTAGTTCACATTGGTTGCTGCATGTGAGTGTAAAATTAATCTCGCTGTAAATTCTGATGTCTTATTTGTTCATGAGAACTAAAAATAGGAAGTGAAATAGTGTAGTGTAATTTCCACCTTATATGAAATAGAATGGCAAGTAGGACGGTTATTTTATTGAGAGTGAGGTAATAAGCAAGATGATATGGTCCCCATTTTACAGTGGAGAAAATTTTGCACCAGTTTTTGAGATGTCTGTGAATGCAAATGAGACAAAAAGTACACATTCCGTTTGAGGTAAGAGTGCAAATCATATTTTAAAACAAACATAAACAAAATAAACCAGGTGCAAAATTTGTATCTGGTTCAGATTTGCATGATAAACAAATGGAGCCAATATATAAAAATAAAAATAAGAATTAAATCTATACCCAGTTATAGCAAAGACTTAGAATTGAATCCCACCTGCACTAGGGTTGTGGTTTGGTGGGATAGGCTACCCTTGGTTGTGTAGCTCCATGGAGAAAACAAAAAGTTGAATAAGTTTAGCCTTAAATGGGAATATAAATTTTGCATAGGTTAGCGTGTAAGGGTGTTGGTTGGGGGATTGCATCTTTTCCTGTATTTAGGGGGTGATCCCAAGCCCCAACTTCAGTTTCTTATTTCACCCTATCATGTTCTAGGTTGAAGCTGAAAAACACAATTAACCATCATTGGTACCCTTGCAGTGCGTTAATGGCTCTTAGAATCCTGTGTCTCATTCACCCAAGATTTTGGGATTCATGAATAATCCCACTTGATGCCGTTTTGTCTAGTTCTTTCTAAATTGGTGATCCTTTATTGGGACCAGATCTAGTAGGTACAACATAAGTAAAATGTACATTTGACAACTGTCAAAAATGGGTGAGGGTATTTTAAGGGATAGTAAGATAGGTGAATGTGTTTACAACATTGTGCCTAATGCCTACCTGATCCCAACTAACTTTTATCAGCCTCCTACCGCAAATTTTTAAAAACCCAAAGTTCTTTACTTTGTTGCCACCTACTTGAAAACAGGAACGTGCAGAGAAGAGATAAAGTGGAAGAGAAAGACAAAGGGATGACTAGACTGCCGAGAGAAGAGAACAAAATGGATGGAGAGTAGTGAGGGGGAGTGGTGGAAAATAGATTGCTTGAACTTTTTAACAGGTGGTACGTGCGAGTCAAGATCTCCTGCCTATAAGAACTTTGTCCATGTGTACCCACATAACATCGCAGCCACACATAGAGAATAATTCATCCCCCTATATAGTATTATGCAGGGGGAGATGTTCTCAATTTACAGGAGTAGTGTGTTGTGGGTAAACATAGACAGAGTTCTGTGGGCAGATGATTCGGTGTATACATACACGCAAAAAAGGCCCAAAAATTTGACTTTTGAATCATTGC